ACCGGTTGGGAGCACTAGTTGGAGCCAGCCACACGACATGATCGCCTTCTTTCGACGCTTGGAGTGTACTAGTATCTGGTCGGCGACACGGCAGCGTCAGCGAGGAAATACTACCCAGCATGTACGCGATGCCTTCGACATGTCCCCAAAAAGTGTACTCAAGATGCTGCAACGATGCTCACTAACGACATCTCGGTCGCGAGCTCGCGGTGTTTGCTGAACGAACGACCGTCGTGTTGTTCGTCGCGGGATTCAAACCACCTCCAAGTTTGTCGTCGATACGCTGTACGTTGGTCCGGCGCGCAAACACGGACGATTTTGTCAGTAGTATGTTGACGCGAATGCGCGAGTGTTTGGTCCTATTGCAAGGCAACGACACAGCATCCTCGGAAGGAACAAGTGATCTCAAAATGGTCGTTGGTCCAACGACGGGTCCTTCCGTGCGGTTTACTGTAGGGACGTTACCACCGCGCCGCCTTTTACGGGACAATCCAGCGATCGAGTTGCCATCGCCTACGTCGTGCAAAACCGGTGCGTCGATCGTGCCCCGACGAGACAAGCGGTCCAACCACACAGCGCGATCTTGAACATCTGTGTTGCAACCTACTAATATACCTTCTTGAGCAAAGAAACACTGGTGCAGATGTACCCGTGATCACCGTCCGTACGCTGAAATCAACCCGAGAGCTAGCGATGAGAGCTATGTGCGGTATCCGGGCTTCCTGTGCGAGTCATCCACCTATGTTTACATGAGTCGGAGACGACAGCAGATGGTTGCCTCGTACGAACAAGCGAGGGATGTGCGGTGTGTCGTCAAAGTGGAGGATACTAACAGCGACATCGATCGACGATCCAGCATGCAAATACGATAGAGAGCGCCCTAGATGCGAGTGGGCTCTCGATGGAAGTGCGTCGCAGAGTCGGACCGTTTATAGATCAAAGAATCGTAGCTCGAGCGCACAGCGTTTATGAAAGTGCCCACAATACCTGCTGCGAACCTTTGGCGTGCGAAGAGTGCTGCCATTTTCATTGAGGGCATTACAACACCTCCGCCAGGAGAGGCACCACATCAAGACGATTTCGGATCACCTGAAATGCGGGTGCATCTGCCTCGGCCGCCTCCTTGACAGCGCGAATCAAAATCCATCTAGCCTTTTGTATACAGAATGCGACTCGGTAAAGCGAGCATTTGCCTCGTTGACCGGTGGTACCATAAGTTTCTTTCTTGACTAACCGTGCGAAACGCGTCACCGTCTGGGCAAAATAAGGGCAAAATGGTCGGGACCTTACGTCACCAGGCCAGCTGCCGATAGGATCAAAACGAGCGATGCAGCGACCAGTTTCACATGGAGCGCATATTTCAATTGCACTACTCATGCGCTGCGTCTTCCGCGACTGCTCTGAGCCCGTGTTTCGCGACTCGTACAAGTGCGCGTTCCACAAGAACCGCCACGTGTGCTCGGTCATGGACTGCGACAACCAAGTCTATGCGCGCAAGCTCTGCGTCAAGCACGGTGCGCGCAAGCGCTGCTCGTTTCCAAAATGCCAAGCCTTCACGCAAGGCCACACCGTGTGCTCCACGCACCACTCTTGGCAGGCATCCCGACCAGCAACCCAGAACCGCACAAGCGCGGTGTCGACAGAGGCCTCGACATCGTATGCTAGAGAACTCAATCTCGAGAATTTGGACGCGCTTGTCTTGGTGTGTACACCCCAGTGGGTTGACACGATTGACCTCGCCTGGCTCGA